GGAGGAGGTGGAGGAGGAGGGGAAGGAGAAGGAGAAGGAGAAGTGTCAGAGTGCAGGTTTGCATAGCAACAGAATCCAGGACTTCCAGTGCTCTCTGGAGCACTTTCCCTTTGGAAGGGAGCATCCTCTTTAAATCCAGAAGCTGAGTTGGCTGGCATACTGGCAAAGCAGAGTCGGCATTTTCTTACGGAGACTTCTTTATTCTTCTTTCTCTGTGAGAATCTCAACGCAAACTCCTTGGGTGCATGCTGAATGTTTGCACTGGATAGAGACCCTGTGTGGTTGATTTCTTCCCACCCAGAAATCGTTCTTCTTCTGACCTTGACCTTAGTGTTTGACAGTGCTATGAAATGGAAGATAATCGTAGGGGGAAAAGCAAGAAAATCATAGGGGTCTGATTACCAGGCTTCCTATTGCACTTGGGCCCCAGCAGAGACTCAGCCTTCACTGGCCTTCCTAAAAGGGACTGTTATTATGTACTGAGCTGAGAATAGCTATCCTGGTAGAGTCTGATGAAGGTTAATGAATATCAATTCATTATATATTAGCCTTCTATAGAGCTAATGGATATTAATCTCCATTGTAGGTAGAAGATGTCAGATTTGGAGAGATCAGAAATAAGGCAAGTATAAATAAATCCCTAATTACATACCTTTTTTGGAGGACAATATGGTAACTTTGTATTACCTATCTGAGAACCGCTAGTTCACCAGGGAAGTTGTAGGTGGACGTCTTTGTTCTTTATTCATTGTCAGTCAAAACACTGCAGTGCTTACTCTATGTTATGGACAAATAAAACACAGTCTAACAACTGTCTGGAAACTTAAAATATTCCAGGGAAGAGGAGAGAGAATAAGTAAATGAACTTTAGACTCATACATGTTGGGGGATGTATGAGGAACTGGTCAGTCCAACCATTGGCTTGAATTGCTTTGCTTGGCGAGGAAAGAGCTAGCGAGCGGGAGGCTTGAGCTCAGCCCTTGGGGATAGCTCAGAAGAAGGGGTAGAGAGCTTAAACTGGTAACAGGTGGCCGAATATGCCACCCCACAATACACACCCTCAACATCAGGATTACATTAAGCTGGGGCTGGGGAGATGGCTCAATAGAATAAGCGCTTCCCTGGCCAGCACAAGGACCTGAGTTCAATCCCCAGTTCTGGAAAAAAAAAAAAAAAAAAAAGATTACATTAAGCTGAAAGCACTTGAAAACCAGCAGATTCAGGAAAGGCTTTCTAATCTTCTCCCTGAAAACAGGAGATAAAGACTCCCCTGTGAAAGATGCCTTCCCTGTATGAGGAGAAAAGAAACATTTGATGATTGCATCATAGCCAGACAAGTTCTGTACGAATGGACCTGGTTAGAATAATTCTTATCTTCCTCTAGCCTTCTACGTATAATTTAGTTATGTTTTTCATGATCACTTGTCCTTCTTGGGCATAATGTGAGGCCATGTAGGTTCTGCCATGTGGGTCTCCATTTCCTCACACAGGCTCCCATGCCACACCAAACATCCAATGCGTATGCTTTTGTTCCATTGATTTATCTTATATCAGCTAAATCCTCAGGCCTACAGGGACTCTAAAAGGGTAAAACTAAAGCTGTGCCTCCCTTCCACTGGCAGCTATTCTCAAGGGCCTCCGGTGGGTTGGGAGTACACCTTATGAAGAAAAGGCACCTCCAGCTTCTAGGAAACAGAGATAGGAGCTCTGCTCTGCTCTTCTCAGATCATGGGGAGATTTACCTAAGTGACTGCTGCAGGAAGCTGCTCCTCCATCAGTAGGGTGTGTGGCCTGCGGAGCCCTTACCTCCCCCACATCTCTGCGTTGTGGCCCTCACAGAGTGACTCAGTGTTAATCACTGGACCAGGTACTAGCAGTAGAGATGGAAGTGAGAGATTCCAGAAAAGGCCCACCTAAGAAGGTCTGCTGCACTGAGTCAAGGAGGATACTCTTGACTGAGTCCTTGGTCTTGCAATATTTAGTGATGCAAGAAGGGTGTTTGCTGGGCAGACACATTTTGTGACCATTGTACACTAGAAGTCCACCAGTAGGAGACACCTAGACACTGTATAGCGCATCTAATGACCTCCATGATATACACTCTTAAATCTTGGTAATAGTGGAAAATCTAGCTTGCAGTGTCTGAGTTGTGCACTGCATATACCAGCCTTTCCTGAGGGATTGGCTTTCTTGTTATGACCAAATGCTGAATTGCTCCCTTGACTAAACTCAGCAGTATACACACTGGAGAATCATTATTATAATTATTATTCTTTGACCTTTTAAAAAAAGAGATTTTGATAATGCTATAACATGGAAGAACTTTGTAGATGTTACGTGAACTTGAGTAAGTCAGACACAAAGACAGATACTTTGTGATTCTCTCTATAGGAGATGCCTATGATAGTCGAATTTATATAGACAGGAGAATGGTAGTCGCTGGTGGGGAGGGGAGAGTTGTTTTTTTATTGCATATAGAGTTTCCGTTTTGTTAGATGAAAATGTTCTGAAATTGTTGCCCAAAAATATGACTACACTTAACATTATTGAACTGTACACTTAGAATAAGATAGGCTGGCCAAATAGCTCAGTGGTAGAGTATATGCTTGGCATGCACAAGGCCCTGGGTTCAATACCTCATACCAAAAAAGGATAGTTGAGATGGCAGAGTTTTTGCTATGTATATTTCAGTGCAACTACAAAACAAACAACAGAAGTAACTTTCCTGGATAATGATCAGATCACTAAAGAACTTTTTTTCTGAGCCAAAACAATGTTACTTTCTTGGAGCAATGAAATAATGCCTGCAGTCTCTCTTTATGTGGGAAATGGCACACATGGGTTTTATGTTTTCTTGAAAGTTGACTGACTTATCATTCTGAGTATTAGAAATAGTTCTAGAGGTTCATTGTAGAACAGTGTGAATGCACCGAACTCTACTTAATGATGGGAAATTTTGTGTTATGCTTGTTTTACCAGAGAGAGAGAGAGAGAGAGAGAGAGAGAGAGAGAGAGAGAGAGAGAGAGAGACAGAGAGAGACAGAGAGAGACAGAGACAGAGACACAGAGAGACAGAGACAGAGAGAGAGACAGAGAGAGACAGAGAGAGACAGACAGAGAGAGACAGAGACAGAGAGACAGAGACAGAGAGAGATAGAGAGATACAGACACAGACACAGAGAGACAGAGAGGGATACAGAGAAACATGCACACAGAGAGACAGAGACAGAGAGAAACAGAGGGACAGAGAGAGGGACAGACAGAGAGAGAGAAAGAGAGACAGAGACAGAGAGACAGAAAGACAGAGAGACAGAGAGAGATCCTGTACAAACTCAGAAGTTCCACCAATACAAAGTCATAAAGATACCTAAGTGCACTTCACTTAAAATGTTGTTAGGGCATTTGGTTATTGGGAATAAGTAGTGCAATATTGTTCAAATGGTTACCCTTGTGTATTTTCCTTGGGTTTCTCCTGAGCCCTGGAAACAGAGGGACTGTATTCTCTGAACTGTTAACCTTATGCATTTTAAGAAACTAAGTCTTTTCTTCCACCCTGCCCTATAGCACATGATGAAGAGTATTGTAGCTTCATCGACTTCCATGGAAGGTCAGCAGCTGTGCTTTGGAGTTCTCCACCACTGAGGTTGAAGCAGCTAGTGCTCACCCACATCCCTTATCCTTCTCTTCTCAGATTCCCCAGTAGATGATCCTCAATCACTGTGGACTTGGGTGGGCCATCAGATCAGTGCTCATCAGAGTGAATGTCTCACCTATGAGCCGTGGTCCCCCTTCCGCATGCTGTCCTGCTCTTCTGCTGGCCAAATGGAGAGATCCCAAAGAGCTAAAGAAGATGGCGCTAGGAGAAGGACCACACCTGGATCCCTGAATGGCTGTATGGAATAGCAGCTATTCGGGGGCAATGGAACAAGCGTGAGGACTGGACTCTTCTGTGCTGAGATACCAGAATTTTGAACCTGGTAAGCAGTTCTTGGTAGCAGTTAGACTACCATCAAAGGTGCTTCGGAAGGCAGGATGGATATTGACGTGCCTGTAAGCTAAGAAGTCAGGTAGGCGAGGGAGATGGAAATTGCATGTCTAATGACTCCCGAAGGCTTTGTGTTGCTTATTAATCATGTGGCAAATATGTTTAAATAAACACAGACAATTAAGGTTCAACAGTATCTCAAGGGAAAGGGGCATTATTGAGGCTTAAACCAGACTGTTGATGCTTCATTTGGGTCCAGCACAATAGATGCAGAAAAAAATCAAAGTTAAAGACATTTCAGGGAAAAGTGTGATGAAACTAAGGGGGAGAAATTCAGAGGTTCCTTTCAGAGTTCTCATTCCCCAGGTATTAGAGATTTGAAATTATTATGGTGATGATGATGATGATGATGATGATGATGATGATGATGATGATGATGATGAAATGATGAAAATGATCCCAACCACCATCACAATAGTGGACAGTGACAACCGTGACAACCATGACAAGGATGATGTGATGATCAATGCGGACACAGAACAAAGCTCTTGGGGGTTCTTAAGAGTTTTCCTGCCCCTACTCACTTCTCCCTGTCTCTTCCCAGCCCTGGGCCTAATTTGTTCTCCCTGACAGTGTCTGTCAGAGGCTGCATTCCTGCCTGCTCACGGCAGCTCTGCTGCCTGAGCCCAGCAGACCAGGAAAAATGCTTTGCCCTGCCCTGCCGTGGAAGGCGTTGTTCACTCTTGGCCTCCGTGCCGACCTTTGGCCATTGTCCTTTCAGTTTCCTGTATCCTTCACAACATGGTTCTCCCAGCACTGAAACTCGTAGGATTCCTTATTCAGAGCTTAATAGAGGTTCATGTTTATGACTCTTCAATGAACTTATACACACTTAAAATAATACCCTGATAGCGATGTCCATGCCCCTGCATGATGCGGGCACTGCCCCTCTTATGCTAACACCTTGATCTGACGAGATTGGGCGGTTCAGGGTGCCATGGCTGTAGACTAACACCTTGATCTGACTCTTACTCTTACTCACAGCAGTCAACTCTGATTTTTCAGTTCCTAAGAGATGCAAGCTTCTTTCCAAGCCTTTCAATCTGCTGTTTCCCCTGTCTGGAAACACTGTTCGCTCAGCTCGTGCCATGTGGAGCCTCTTGACTTTCTTAGCTGTCAGCCTAGAAGCCACCTCTCGGAAGCACCTCTCTGACCCATGCACTTAGTGGCCTCCATATTGGTCACCACTTGTGTCCTTTCAGCTTCTCAGTTCCCCTCTTACTGCAGCCATTGCAGGGACAGAGGCCTTGTCCTGGTGCCTCCTGGTAGCCCCTGGCTTCGGATGTCCCTGCTTCTTTCAGTTTCTTCTCCAGGCTTTCTCCAGTGCTGCTGTGGGGACTTTGCCTGTATGGCTTGGATATGTGAGGAAACTAATGACCCATGAAAAGTGGGAGCTGGTGGATCAGTGGCCATCGCTTTCATTCCTTGGGTGAGCAGATCTGACCTAGAATCTACTTGGCTCTTTGGTGTCCTAGCAGGATTGTCCCCACTGCCCCCAGTAGTGGCGAACTTGACGACGTATCTAAATTTCAATTTTTCTTCTTGTTTTGCTTTCTTTTCCCTACTTTCTCCTTCTCTTCCCTGGGATTATTGTAGGCAGCCGAGTTAGATAAAAATATTATAGGCAGTCAGACAGGGCCAGGCCCTCAAAGGAGACAGCACACAAGATGAGATGCCTTACAACTGTGGGAGGGGCGGATGCTCCTGCTGTGAGCCAGACCTAAACACCTAAAGGCCAAACAAATGCTAAACGAGTAGCACCTGGGATTGATATTCTAAATAGGTATCAATCACCTGGAAAGACCCAAGTGAGTCACTAGCCCAACCCCCAACAGAAAGAGACCCTGTCCCGCATTCCAACCCCCAACAGGAAAAGACCCTGTCCCATATGCAATCCCATTGGTTGACCATAGTTTTGTCCCACCTCCTGCCCACCTAAGTGAGTTCCCATTCTCTCCACCTTAGCCCCACATGGTTTTACACTATAAAAGTCCCTGGAAGAGACAGCTTCCCGGGGAACTACCCACTCGGGCACCCCTCCTGTCCCTCTCTTGGACAAGAGCTTTCTTTCTCTCAATAAATATATTCTGCTCATAACCTCTGTTTATTCCTAAAATTCATTCTTCGGTTTTAGAGAACACGAACTCGTGCAGGTCAGGTCCAGAGATTGTTTTTCTCTATGTCATTTGGAGGTTCCTTGTATGGTTTGGAGGTCACCCACCCGAGACCAGTTTTTCTCCCTGTATCAGGATCATTTCCTAAAATAAACAACCTCCATACAGTCCTTTGCCAAGATTTCCAAAGAACTCAAATTTCAAGTCCCCTTACCTTATTTAATATGACAAGAGCTCCACCTCTCTGTTAGCTCTTCCTGCACCTTACATTAAGCCTATGGATTTCTACCTTTCTTTTAATCTGTCTGGATTAGAATCTGATCAGAGAACAGGAGGCTCATCAGTTTTCAACTGTCTTCTCAGGTCCTAGTGTGTAATTCCTGGCAAGACACACTACCCCTAAATATACATTCATGAATCACAAAGTGCCATGTTCTATTTTAAGAATTACATTTGTACTCCAGGCAGTGAGAGGCAATAGGCCATCCTGGTTAAGAGCATTTTTTTCTGGAGCCTGACTTTCTCAGCTCAGTTCCTGACGGCCACATAAGTAGCTCAGTTGCCTCGAGGAGGTACCAAGCTAGGCAGGACACCAATTTATCCATCTGCAAAGTGAGGTTAATAATGGTACCCGGCACTCAGGGCTGTTATGACACTTCAATAAATTACATAAAGCACTCAGGACAGTACTGGGTACATGGTAACCACTAACAACTCTCTCTCTCTCTCTCTCTCTCTCTCTCTCTCTCTCTCTCTCTCTCTCTCTCTCTTTCCCTCCCTTCCCCTTTTAGTAATCATTTACTAAAATTCAGACTTGCACAGAGATGCTATCCATTTCAGCTCTTCTACATTTATCAGTCCTTTAGCTATATTTTCCAAGTATACCTGGGTTGACTATCAGCCAAGTGACACACAGGTAAGAATCAGTGACTTAGTGGCATGTGCAGTGCTTTAAATACTCCATGCATCTTAATCTGACCTAAGAAGTGTACCCTTCTGCCCTCTACCCCTCCCCTCCCCAGTCAGGAGCAAGGAAACAAGGCCTTTCGTTTCCATGTAGAAGGAGCTCATGCCCCATTCATATTGGCTTTCTGTAGGCAACTCTATAAGGGAATTTGTTTATTTCAGGGCTAAAGAATGTTTATATCGTAGTGACAGCAAGCTCCTTGCCTACAGACACTCCAAGAAAGAAAAAGCCACACTTCTGCTTTGGTTTCCAAGCTGACCTTCAAATGACTTTTAGAAACATTTCTTAAATCCTTTCACCTCTTAGGAGGAGGAAAACCAAAGTGGAGTTTTTTCATGTTTAGAGGTTCAATGTAAGACAAAGAGACTGTGTGTCTGCCTGTGGGAGGCAGAGATGTTGATGCCTGGATGTTATTCTTGGGCTGCACAAGGGCGGCAAGGCTGGAATTTTGTCATTGTTACTTGAGCCTCCTCACTTGCAAAGAATTGCTCACCCCACTCCTCTCCTGACTTCCCTCTTCACTTTCCCCTCTGACTAATCTCTACCTGCATGGCAGCCAAGACAGGTGGCCAGGTCTGGTGGGTCAGGTCTGAGTCAGGCAAGTGTCTGGGTGCACGGCTGTGAGACAGGGTGATGAAGCCCGGGAGGCCGTGTCAGGATTTCCCTTCTAATCCAGGGCCTTAGTGCAGTAGGCTAAAATAAGAACAGGCTGCAGGGGAACCATCAGGTGCTAGGCGGTACTGAAGGCAAGAAGTGTGCTAGGTTTGGGCCCTGAGTCTGCTCAGACTGGCGGTGTGATCTCTGTCCTCTCGCCTTTGTTTCCTGGAGATGAGGCCAGCGCCACCGTTCTCACTGGATTTGCATTTGATACAGGCAGCCAGTGACTCCGCAAGAAATTTTAGCCCTTTGTTGTGCATAATTTGGATCCACCCACATCTCACCAGTGAATGATCCCAGGCCCTAGAGAATGTATCAGGGAAATTCTTATGGTAGCTTTAGCAGTTGAAGACTGATTTTTAGTGCCATTATTTTCATGCCTATGACATTAATATTTAATTCAACTGTTTTATTTTGTTCTTTTTTTTCATTTTTTTGTTGTTCTTTATCTACACATTTCAGACTGGAACTTAACCTGGACATGGCCTAACCTCAGTAACATGGATGAATGAGTTTTATAAAAACATTAAGATCTCCTGAAATTCTGTATGTATATATGCACATAAACATGTATGTGTATGTGTGTGTCTGTGTGTGTATATATGCAAGAACATGTGTATGGCATTGGATTTAAAGTACATAATACTTTTTTGCAAGTTCTGTCAAGCTATTCATGACTATGTGACAATTTTGTTGAGTTATGTTCTATTTATCTCCACTACTTTCTGGCCTCATTGCCATTCCTGTCCATATTGTTGCACAGAGCAGAATTTTAAGAACACCTCCAGATATTTTTCAGGGAAGCCAATAAACAGCTTTAGCTGACACCTCCAGCGTGGCACGGTGATCCAAGCCAACACAAACAGGGAGTGGGAGGTTTGCTGACAGTTCTGGGCCCTGAAAGCTTAGGACTGGTTTGGTGAGGCCGAGTCGAAATCAAGCAGTGACTCGCAGAGGAGCCAGGGAGGACGCAGTCATGTTCCTTCTTGTACAAGCTCCATCCCTAAGGAAAGGAAATTCTACAAGAGGCTGAGCCCTCCGCTGGTCAAAGCAGGGGAATAAACTTGCATGACATGGGTGAGCTGAGGTCTACTAATCCTGACTCATACAACTAAGGCCTCCATGCTGTAGAAACACTGGGTTCTCCTGTCTGGTGTGGGGGCTGTACCTAAAACACCAGCATTTTTTCTGTATATTTATAGGGATCCAGATTGGACCATTAAAATAATGAGATTTCCAATCACAGTGGCTTAAATAAAAACACTTCGCGGGAGCCCTATATGATTAGGGACCTTGCTCATACAAGTACTCACTGCCATAATGCGTTCCTGTTGTCTTTAAAATGAAGCCATTCTGTAGCTGTACCATAAGCTGTAAAAACCTTCAGACAAAGCACTAGGAATAGTTGCCGCGGCCGTGTTTAGAACCCAGTGGCAGACGCTCCATATTCTCTGGCCATTTCCTGTACTCCAGGTGGCTTTGGACTACAACAGTGTTTGCACTTTGGCTCTCTGGCCTCCTGGTGGTGTGCTTTGTGTGCAGGGTTGAGCACTCGTGCTGGGAAATTGCTAGACAGCAAGCAGCCAGCAGCCAGCACGAGCTGGTGTGCACACACTCTAGCTTTCTCGTTCCTTGGGCGGGACGCTCTCCTGTTTGCCTAATCCTCCTGGGTTTGTTACCTGAATTAAACTAAATCACTACTTGAATTTAGGATCTGCTCCTGGGAAACCCGAATTAAGATATTCTTGTCCTTCTTTATTTTTTTTTTTTAATTTTTAAATTTTATTTATTTATTTATTTATTTATTTATTTGTGTGTGTGTGTGTGTGTGTGTGTGTGTGTGTGTGTGTGGCCAGCTCAGCCCACCAGGGGGAGGGGCTGGCTGGTATGTGGTGCTGGGGGATTGAACTGCGGTCCCTTTGCTTTGCTGAGCTTGTTCTCAGTAGGTGCTTTAGACCACTGAGCCATCTCACCAGCCCCTCTCGTCCTTCTTCTCACTCACTACTCTCTGATCTTTGTAACCTGACCACATGCTCCAAGAGATCTGCCCTGTCCACCCAGCTTCTTTCTTTCCACAACAACATATGCACCAGGGCGGACCAGTTACAGACTTCCTCATGCTTCACATCCAGGCTGCACCATGCATACACTGATGTATAGAGACCCAAGAACCCCAGACAACGAAAGCAGGATGCGTCCTGGCTGAGGACATAGTTGTCCTCAGAGCTCGCTGGTTGCCTTTGGGCTTGTTGTGATGCCTCTTGGGCCCGCACAGGCGGCACAGTGCTCCTGTGCATGCCTGAATTCTGACTGCACAGTCCGAGGCAGTGAGCCCGACCTTGGTGCACAGCTCGCTCCTGCTGTGACACGTAGCATTGTCTGTTTCCTCCCCCAACAGGGAACGGATGGAAGTATTTTTCATGAAGACAGGAAATACCTTCTCAACAGCTTTGAAAACCAGACAAAACGACCCCAAAAGAGCAGGCCCCTCGGGTGCAGAGAGCTGTGTGGGCTGAATCTTCAACTGCAGGATTAACCGTGGGGATCTGTGGCCACACCCGGTGATTTTACACACGGAAAAAAATCAAATTGGTGAAGTAAGATCTGTGTCACCTTCTTTAAAATGTACTGTCACTTCTCTGATGCAGTTGTGCAAGATTCAGCAAGGAGATGCAGGTAGTCCTCCCCTGGCAGGATGCCAGCGTGCACCAGCTTCAGCCGCATCTGTCCACAGTTAGGCAGAACGGCTCGGTTCTGTCTGTCTCCAGTCACCTTATCCGGGAAGTCTGAATACTTGCATGAAGCATGCGTTTGGATGTTAGCTCTTTAGGACACAAGTCGTTTTGTAAATGTCTGCACCACTCAACCAGCTAGTGACTGATGAGACCAGTTCTTTCCAAACCTCTCAGCAGTGGGTCACCGTGCCTCTGTCTTTCAGGCCACACATGGGCAGCAAAGCATACCTTGTCTTCCAGGGAGCACTCACGGGACCTTTTACAAGTAGATAATCGGTGGAGGGAAGCAGCCATCCAAACACGGAAGTGACGCAAAGGCACCAGAGATGAGAACCCAGGAAATGAAATTCAAGTTGAACACCGGTGAAGTCAAGATAGCGTTCTAAACGCTACCTCAGCAACCAAAAGGAGATGAATAAGGGAGAAGTTACGGACATAAATAAGGGAGAGATGAAGGGAGAGTGCTGTCCTAGAGGAAGTGACACCAGAAAAAAATATCACAGTAATGGAATGCTCAGAGATACTTCATGGTGGGCCGGCCAGATAGCTCAGCGGACTAAAGCACCTGCTTCGGCAGAGCGTAGTGGCCGGGTTTGATCCGGCCGCCAGGGTGCGCTGAGACCGCGATTGAGACTGGGCTTGATAGCGCGCTCCTGTAATCCCAGCTCTTGGGAGGCTGTCAACAGGAGAATCACAAGTCCGATCTACATAATGAGACTCTGTAGACCCTATAGTCTCTGTCCCAAATACATTAAAAAAAAAAAAAAAAAAAAAAAGATACTTCATGGTACTGAAAGTGCAAAGGACAAAATGCCAGAATTGAATCCAAATTTGGACAGGCAACTGAAAATTCATCAAGGTGGAGAGGAGACATTTGCTCAGTATTATAAGCTATGTGACAAAAAGGCAGAGCTGTGAATATGTGTTGTGTTTCTGCTGTATATTATGATGCTCTGATGCCTAAAACCTTTCCCGGCTCAGAAGAGACGGTCCCTCCTGGAGCGAGCCCGTCCTGAGAGAAAAGACTCAGTCAGGAACCTGCTCTGACATGGAAACTCCCAATTCAGAGCCAGCGCTCTTCTCTGCAGCCCCTGAGCCCATATTCCTCTGCCTTAGTCCCCCAGGGCCATCACCGGACAAGCAGGTCCCTGTGGCACAGGACCTGCTAGAATCATTCAAACAGCCCACCAGAAGTTGTCACCATCCCTGCTTTCCTCTTCCTTGAGAAACCAGGATGAAGGCTCAGGCCTAACCCTGCCCCATCTCCCGAACCCCTGAGGCTTCCTCACATGCTGTGCCTCTGGTGACCAGGACCCTTGTCCCCAGCACTGTACGCTCTGTTTCCTTGAGCCTCCCTCTGTGTCCTCCTGCATACACGACCGAGCAGCACATAAAAGCAGAGAACACACCCTGCTGCAAAAGGAAACCCTCTCGTTTTTTATGTTATTTCTAGTCTATGAGTTATCACATCGTAGATTAATATTTGCTTTGCCAATTTTGTATTGTACCATATTGATAACCTGTGCAGAATTGTGGATATTTTGACAGCAGTTCATAATTTTTTTCCCTAGAGATTGTCATTTTGTAAATTTAAATGATAAATTTAAATTTTTAGGGTCCTGTCCTGCCCTGCTAAGTGAAGACTGCATGTACTTGAAGTTTTACCTCATTTAAAAGAGGACAGTGAGAGGGCTGGTGAGATAGCTCAGTAGAATAAGTGCCTGCCAGGCAAGCACAAGGTCCTGATTTCAATCCCTGGTACTGCAAAAAAGAGAAAAGGAAAGAGGACTGTGGAACATGGCGGCTGCGGATCTGAGATGCTGGGGTTCACATCTTGACTCTTGTTCGAAATTGCTCGCTATCTTCTCTTGGTCAAGTGAACTAACTCATTCAAAGCTAGCTTTTTTTTTTTTTTTTTTTTTAAATCTTGACAACAACCACCACCCATCACAAAAGAAATCATAATACTCTACACACAGTGTTCTGGTAGTAATAGGTGAGTAGGCTTCAGTAAATGTACCTGAGATTCAAGGAGCATCCCATAAACAAGCTCTATCGAAGTGGAGATCTTACCTTTCTTCCTCATTGTACTATGCTTCCACTTAGAGCAAAGCCTGACGTATGTCATAGCCTTTCAGGAAATATTTGGGGCACAAAAGTGTGAGTAGTCATATTTAACATTCAATAAATGTCAGAGATCTGCGTATCCTTTTCTCCTTCTTTTCTTGCTTTCCAGATGCCCTATAGCTTTATAGAGCTTAAAGAAATCACAGGACCCAGTTTTACAGTGAAGTCAGGCACGGTCACTTCTGTCTTGTTTGTGCCTGCCCATTGGATTTAGGAGGAAAGGCCCCCAATGAGGTCAACATTTTCAGTCCAAATAACACATTTCTACAAATCTATAGGAAAATACTAAGATGTCAAAAATCAGAAAAGAACAATTAATTTTACCAAAAAATATAGCACGAATGCTGGGTCCATTCATTTTCCCCAATATAATTTGCTACTCCTCAAAGGTATCTACCTTCTCTCTCTTCCTATAAAAAAACAATGTGCAAACACCTCAAACTCACTGAACTATCAGGCACTCACCCCTCCCCTTACCTCTTTCACCCTCATGCAGGACAAATCCATCAGTACATCTTTTTCTCTCACTAATCAGTCTGTTGTTAATTAGTTCCAACAAACCTTCAGGAGAAAAGGAAGCTTTTCTTCAGCCTCTTACTATTTCATCTCCAATTCTCACAACAGCTTTGCAAGGTGGCTCTGATTATGCCCATTTGTGGACAAGAAAATGAGGCTCAAAGATCCAGGCAACCTTCTTACTTCACCTGGTAGTAATAAAGAGCTATTTCACAGTTAAACCTACATTTTTCTGCCCAATTATTTTCTTTATTCCATGTTTGGTTGAGTCTTAAGTTTTTAGGTATGTTGCAATGATAAATTTTCTACATTTAAAAAAATTAAAATATTTAGTGGCATTGATAAATAATAAACATGGCTCACAAGAAAACAGCAGCTTTAATAATAATTTATATTCCTGCTCATTTAATAAAGATGTATGCCAAAATTAAAATGAAATACCAATAACATAATCATAGCTTTTAAGTTGAAAAAGAGAGGATACTCAGATTTTGGCTTTTCTTTTTTTTAACATTTATTTATTTATTTAGTGTGTGTGTGTGTGTGTGTGTGTGTGGCCAGCTCAGCCCACCAGGGGGCGGGGCTGGCTGGCATGTGGTGCTGGGGGATTGAACCATGGTCCCTGTGCTTTCCCAAGCTTGTTCTAAGTAGGTGCTTTAGACCACTGAGCCATCTCGCCAGCCCCTTGGCTATTCTTTTCTTAATGTCTTCAGTCAAAAATTTACTGAAGTCAAAGGATTTACTTTGGTTAATTATTGTCATTCATGCTTTAAATATTATAATGTTGAACATTTTTAACAAATAAATACCTTCTTTGCAGATGTTAATATTTGTCTCAGTTGAGGAACAGGGAAAGTCATTGTTTTGCCCAGTTGATATGGAAAACCCAGCACACATTCAGCATTCTTTGGGAAGGGAAGAGGAAGGCTCTCATATCAGATGTTTTGGAAAGAAGGTAAATGTGGAATGAGCTGGAAGTTCTGGAAGAGAACTTTCCGAAAGCACTGCTATTGATTCTTGTTGAATATTCATGAAGTTGAAGCTTTCTGTCTCTAAATGCCCAAACTCCCAGGCTGGCACACCGCAGTCAATGGTTTTCTGGTTGTTTTTGCGAGGGTTCAGTAGGGATGTTTTTGCTGCCTTTGGCATAGTGTGTGTGTGCTCAAAGCGGAGACAGACCTTGGGTGTGTGGGGAGTGCTGCCTGCAGGGGCTGTTTGCACTGGATTCTGTCCAGAAGGCCAAGCTCCTCCTGGATGACTCTTCCCCAGAAAGGCAAAAGGCCTCACTCCTCTGCAGGGTCTGTTCCATTCGCTACTCACCCTGCTAGTTTATTTGGGTGTTGACCTCGGGGTGATCTGGAAGCCCCCAGGAAAACTAAGTCATTCGATCCTTTTGCTCTTTCTGCAGCAAAGAAAGCCTCCTGAGTAGCTCATAAAGAAGCAGGGAGAGACGTTTGGCCAGGCCGTTGTATCCTTCCTGCCTTCCCACAAGGTTCAAGAGGTTATGTGGTTGATGACTCCTGCTGCCTGCTCTGCAAGACTGCTGCCACCCAGAGAGCTTAAAGGGAGGCACCTTCCAGCCAGGTGGAGAAGTTTCCAAAAGGAAGGAGGCCCCCCTCACACACACTTACGAGAGGAAGCGTGTACCAGTGGGGGAAAACATTCGGGAAATACACAGTTAGCCCCATCACAAGCCACACTTTGAATCCACCTTATTAACTAGATGGGAGTTTCCGTCCCAGTAGGGGCTCAGGGTGCTTCAGACCGACCTTCTGGAAACACAGTCAGGGCCCTTCTGGCTCAGCTGTAATAATATTAACCATGATATGAATTCCACCAACATCTTACAGCCTGAGAGGAAGTTTAGCTTGGCTGATTTAAACTTCAAGGGGAGAAAGAAAAGCTTTTCTCTTGTTCTTCTGGATAGGCTGCAGTTTTGAATTAGATATTATAGTCACCTACACTCATTTATATGCAGAAAATGCAGTCTCACGTATTAACAACAATTTTTGGCAGCCTTTATCAAAATCCCAAATGATGTGGAAGAGGGTTGCAAATTATTTCCAGGCCTGCATTATTTATTTTCTTTCTGGACTCTTTCCCAGTGTATAATACGTGGTCTTATGTGCAGGAAGATGGCCAAGTAACAGCTCTAAACACTTGCTTGAAAGGACATTTTTATGTAGATACTAAGAGGTAGGGAGAGAGATCTTTCTCAAATGGGAAAGGGATCCAGAGAGGGAGTGAGGAGGGAGGACAAGGAGAGAAAGAGGCTGAAAGAAGGAAGTAAATGTGTTCTGCACACGTACCAACTACACACAGGAATGTAAACATTATGTACTGCACACACACATACTAATAAAAGTAAATGAAATTTAGAAATAAAGTTATAGTTACAAAATTTAAAAATAGCTGAAAGAATTTTTTAGAGATGCTAGAAAGCCCATGTGCCATATGAAAGGAATGTATGTGTGTAAGAATGGCAATGTTTGCAGATTTCTTCTTAGAGGGCCCGCATGGTTTTGGGTTTCTGTGCCTTTGGGATTTGGTCACAACCATTCAGTGTTGCCACTGTACTGCACAAGGGGCTATGGACAAGACTTGAAAGAATGGATGAGGCTGTCTTCCAACGCAAACTTTATTTGTGAAAACAGGCAGCTCTTCCTAGGCCTATGGATCGCAACCCTTGCATTGTCATCCACTTGATATGTGCATCTGGCAGGTTGCTTTTGGATGAAAAGCAAAGGAAAACTAAATGAAAAGAAAGCCAGAAAACCAAAGGAAAGATCGCAGATAATCTTTCCCCAGTGGGATAGTCATCACTTGTAGAAGTAAGGATGGTCCAGAGTCTT